TGTTCAGCTCAACTACATTTTCATGTTCCTGCATCATTCCATTACTCAGATACATTGACAGTGAGAGGACCGTCCTGAATGAATGATGCTAAATGGTGAGTGAGAGCAGTGTCAAAAATGATCAAGGGCTTGTTGATCTACAGCGCTACTTTTTTTCTGGTTTCCGTCTGTGTATGACAAAAACAAAGTCCAGCTGCCAGCTGGAGTTATTTACTCATTTCCATGCACCCAACGTGCGTAGTTGTTGGCTGTTGGCTATAATCTTTGCTTTGTGTCCAAGTCCAACTTTTTGGCCGGCATCGTGAGGCACAGCAACAGTCGGCCTACGTCATCACTAGTTCTTTGATGTCGGTTTTGTGCGTCTGGGCCTTAATTCCCAGTTCCCACTGCTATTAGGAAAAGAGGGCAGGACTTACTGTATGATTGAATACACAGCAGGGAGCTTTTGATGTGGATATCCACTCATTTCAAGTCCAGGGATGTGTGGAGTTTCATCTCATTAGAGAACAAAGTCCAGTCTTCCACTCACACTGATTAGGACCTGGTTTGTATTAATTGGAAAATCCCCTCTTAAACTTCTATAGTAATTTGGTATCATTTTGTTCACTTTGCACTAATGAGAGATACGTAATTTACTGCAGCTTCACTTGATAGTAAATAATGGATTCATTATTTTCATGGTTAGTCTTCCTCCTGTAAAAATAATCAGGACTGGAAACCATTGTTGGCTAAACACCACAACATACAGAGATGTCTACGGAGTTAATAAAGCTATTTCTTGAAATGTAGCTGATAGATAAATGTGTCAGCTCCTTACCCTCATTATGATCAAGGCTCAAGAGTGTTAGTCAATTCAGAGCAGAAACCACAAAGGATCTGAGAATTAGTTTGGTCTCATGCAGTTCCTGAATGCTAGGGTCGTCCTGTTTCCAGATGGTCTCCTTGGATATGTGCAGGTTTTAGTACATGTATCACTTGGCAGGCTGGACTGAAGCTCAGGTGAGGAACTAAAGGTTGGTGTTGTCAAAAGGAGCTTACACAGGGCTTTACTATATTTCCCTTTTTAATACTCAATGGTGAAGGTGAACTCATACAGCGGATCAGATTAGACAAGCATTGCGTTTATTAGTTTTGAAAAACCAGAGGAGACGGTTGTGTGACAACAGTGAAGGTCCTGCCCACCAGGTAGTAATACTACTGCCAAACATTGCTCTTCTTTGGTTGAATAATTCCTGCAATGCCGTGCTCACCTCCCTAACATGTTTGTTGGGCACCCAGGCTAAAATCGCTGGCATCTGCAACATATAGAGTCCATGAATGGTAAGTGAAATCCAGGTTGCCAAGTTTAGATGACTTGTGTCAGTGACTTAGTGTTCACTGTCAGTTAGCAAGCTTGTTTTCCCTCTTCAACAAATCCTATGAAAATGTACAATCCTAGAAACCATCAGGGCATTTGTTATTATTCAAATTATTTCAAGAATTATTATTTGACTTGCATTAACATTTTAGAGCAGGGGTGGGGAACCTTTTTCCTCTCAAGGGCCATTTCAATGTTTTCAACATCCTCCGAGGGCCGTACAAATGATTGACCTCTGCTTAAAAATACTAAAATCACAGCCCATTCATTTGTACGGAAGAGGATTAGGGCCACATAAAACATTTTTTTGTGAGGATTTGAAAAAAATATTATTATTTTTTGTTCTGAGAAAAAAGTCAGAATTCTGACTTTAATCTCAGAATTCTGACTTTTTTCTCAGAAATACCGGTAACTGTAGAACCAGCTTCACTGCGATTTACACATTGCAGTAGGCAACAATGGAGGACGTGAGTGAATTTCTGCGCGCCAGAGGGGTCCAAGAGGAAACCATAATAAGTCATTTTACAACCATCTGCAATGTGTAAATCGCAGTGAAGCTGGTTCTACAGTTACCGGTATTTCTGACTTTTTTCTCCCAAATAAAATGGGTTTTTTTTGTTCTGAGAAAAAAGTCAGAATTCTGAGATTAAAGTCAGAATTCTGACTTTTTTCTCAGAACAAAAAAAAAATGTTTTTTTTCAAATCTTCACAAAAAAATGTTTTATGTGGCCCTAATCCTCTTCCGTACATTTGGCCTTTCTTTCATGCTGTGCAAAGAAAAAGCAACCTCTGAATCCAGATATCTTACCATGACTCGCACATGCATTCACGTGCACGGTTGTGGCATGACCACCAAAACAGAAAGATATGGACACAAGATGTGTGCACATTTTTCCTATTCATGTGGACATGAAGATGTTTGCACTTTGAGAGCAACATTAAGAGATCTATGGAAACATCTCTCAACACCCAGATGAAACAGAACTGTAAGCAGATTTATTTTTCTTTATGGATATTTTACAAATCACTCCCCTTTCAAACTGTATTCTTGTTTATTAATAACAACTTTTTGTTACCGTCATATAGTATTTTATACCTGTTTACTTTATTCTCTTATTTTTGTATAACTATAATGATCATATAAAGATGTGCCTTTACCTCACTGGTTGTAGAAAAAGCTTCTTATATTCGTTAGCATAGTTAGCTAACCAGATGCTAATAACAACAAAGTTATTGACTGTATGACAGATGAGCAGATCGCCACTGGGCTTTCAACTAACGACACAGCCACGCAAAAACTGCGGCATGTGTACAGCTCCTTATCGGTACTGCATTTTTTGGAAGTGCAGGAGCCACGTTCTGGTGCTCTCCGTCAGAACTGCACCCCTGTCAGACGAGACATATACCACGTGATGACTCGTTAGGCTTGTGTTGTGTTCAAGGACCCTGACCTTGGCCAGGAAAAACAGGCACTCACTTGTTTAATTATTTTGCTGTCTAGATTTTTTTAAATGTTTTCTTTTTTGCGTGTGTTTATAAATTACCTTGAGGGTCGTACCAAATTGTCCCGCAGGTTCTCCACACATGTTTTAGACTAGAGGATCAGAGATAAATGTGCTAAACAGAGACATCTCGATATGTAGAAAAGTAGTTGATCAGTAAATGAATACACAGTTTATAAATGTGCACTGTAGATTAAAGTGTTCACTGGTGGTATTTCACTGCAGGGCCTTGTTCACAAGCCTCATTTAAGGACTTTTCTCTTTTCAGAATTACACTTTCAACTGAAGTTTTGATTACTCAACCAATGCTGGTGGTCTAATTACTCAAATGTTTTTATCACAATTCACTATTCCATGGCCAATGAAATAAAGACAACCTGAGAAATAACTGTGACTGAGATATCTACCCGAACGTTTTTAAGGCCTCTTGTTTTTTCACGCGTGCCCATCTGTATTGCCGTCGATCCTGACTGACATAATCGGCCCTTCATATCTTTCTGTCTCTGTCTGTAAATGTGTGAAATACTCCCAGAGGCAACATGCCAAAGATGTATGACATGGTGCGTGCTACACACCTAGTCGTTGGCCCGAGTCTCTAAATAAACAGATATCAGCCGCTCAATGAACACATTATGTGCACACAATGAGACACGCTCACACTGATTGACAGCCGTGTTCAGCAACAGGTGTCAGTGTACAGGAGGAGAGATACTGTGTAAGTGTTTGACGGACACTTCGCAGCCTATATCGATCGGAATAGAGATTAATAAGGATACAAGCTATTCTGCCTAACTTTTGAAATGACTTCAAATACAGCAGTCAAATGTAGAGACTAGATAACTTGGGAATAGTTTAACACAATGATGAGTTTAAGCTTCAGGTACCTGCATGCATTTACTTTGAATGAACAAAAGCTGATCTCTTTGTTATCCTTAGATTGTTTTCTATATTAATGTTGAATATTCCCAGAAAGAGAGTGGAGTGCAAACAAACCAAACACTGCCAACAATGATTGTATGATCAGGTCTAAGAATACACCTTTGTCAATATGTGTCTCTTATACTAATTAATAGTAACTGTATTAACTCTTATGGTTGATTTCAATGAAGTTTTATGACTTCTGTCTGTTGTTTCTTGCATGATCTATTACTAATTGAGGCAAGGTTTTCTTATTTATACTAACTTCGCATTGCTACAACACAAGCATTACAGGGAAGTAAACATGAGTAGTGAAAGGGTTATAATTATCTGAATGCAGATTCATAAAACATTGCACTTCAATCCTGCAATGTTAGAGTAATATAATTATACTGAAGATAAGAGAAAATAATAAAAATAAGGAGATGAGTTGAAGCTTTTTCAGGAAACAAATTAGGGTAATTAAAGGAGAATGTGTCCTCCTCTCTTCAAATCAACTTCATTTTCTAAACACTGACAATGTTGTTGTCTCTCTGGGTCTGTGTGTGTCACTGTGAAGTGCAACAGCGCCCCCTGTGACTCAATGTGCCCTCTATTCAAACACACTGCGTTTGCAAGTTGAAATAAATGCCTGTGTCTCTGTTCAAATGATGATTTTAAAGATTTAGATTCTATGGAAAGAAGCACATTACACCCGGGACCATGTTATACTGCTCTCCTCTCTTCTCCTCTCTTCTCTTCTCCTCGCTGCATGATGTTTGGCCTGATGATAACCTCAATTGACCCTGAAGACTAAACTGTCTCCACTGTTTTCCACAGGGCAGGGCTGTCATGACGCGGACATCCGGCACACTATCTCGTCATGTGCAACAGAGTGGGATCAGGATTTCTTGCTTCCTGATTGAACCATGGAACCATTTGAGCCTCATGATAATATTAAATTATTTTACCACATTTTCTATTCAATCTGAATAAAGCTGAATGGGACACTTTAGTTTTGGGCTGTAGGTCTGAATATGATGGTATTTTTTGAGTTAGAAGCATCTTTGTCCATCTTCTTTTGTGTTGATGGGATTTTGAAAGAATAAATACACCAAATCTTGTTGTGAATGTGTCAGAGCTATACACAACAAGTGTATAAATAATATACAGTAAGTGATGTATAGCCCCCGGTTGTTTGTGTAAGTTGTGTAAAAAATACTGAGTTATTGTTTATTACTCACACAATGCAGCCATCTCTTTGGGAAGGTCTGCCCCAAAGCGTCCGAAGAGGTGGCTGCTGGCCAACAGGTCGTAGGGGGAGTGGCTCCGCATGGAGTTAAAGGTGAACGGGTACATAGTGCGAGGGAAGCCGGTCATGTGACGCATTTGGTGCTCCCTGTTGGTTGCCATCGTGAAAAGTGCTTCTGGTGGTTGTGGTGACTTTTCTCTGACTCTCTTCTCTCTTCTGAGTGGTCTTCGTCAGAGGCCTGCAATGAGTTTCAAATGGGCTGCTGCCATCCAGCCCCTCTCAGCTGTTGTCAGGCTGCAGAGAGGTGAGAGGGATGCTGACCAGGGAGGAGTCACGTGACCAAAACTCAAACAGGAGCCGACTGTAGAAAGGAAGGGAAGAGAAGGAGGAGGGTTAGATACTAGAATTAAAGTCTGGCCTATAGAGAGCACAGCAACTCACCTAAAGTCTAATCAATAACAACAATTCATTAAAAAACACCAGCAGCCAAACCTGAAATCCCTCAAAAGTACATTTCAAACCGGGAATAAAAACCAAGACAACAAAGAGCAAGAAGCGAGAAACACTTCTCTCATGCTTTCTTTCTGTCTTCATAGTCGTGCAATGATTTCAATCAGTAGAACTGAATTATAAAGGGTCTCTCTGTTCCCTCTGCCAGCCTGACTGTAGCCAGCCTGCTCGAGAACAGTCAGCCACAACATGGGTACAATTAACCCTTTCCATCAACAGACACACATGACCTGCTCAGTCTCACTGTAGCCCGCACCATATGTGAGGAGCACAAACCGCTCAGGAGTTTCTGAAGATCACCACGTCTCACCTTCTCCGTCTCTCCGGAGGACTCGTGGTGTCTCTGTGACCCCGTCAGGGAGTTATATGAGGGCAGCTCTCTCCTCTTGTTTCTCTGTGACTCTCTCATCACTGATTTCATGAGAGGGTGGAGCTTCACTCTCTGTGGTGGAGCTGTGGTAAATACAGCCCGGCCAAAGAATGTCTTGTTGTTTTGGGCCTGCTTTGGCATGGGAATTAAACACCCAGGGTGGGTGAGGGAGAACGGAGAGAGTTATGAATTGTGCCCCAGTTTACTGTTAAACTCAGATTGAGTGGAAATACAGAGAGTAACAAATATAAATTCCACATGATCTTATAAACCATCAATTGATATATCTGTGTTCCTCATTTATGACAGACTAACTCAGGTGCACTGATACAGGTACATTACACATAGAGTCAGTTACACACTGTCAAGCGCATTACAGAGCGGCTACAAAGAGTCGCCAGTGCCTGATTATAAATAAACTGTTCCACATGTGGAGGTAAACTTCTGGCAAGAGCAGAGACTCTTTACAGGACACACACAAAGTCAGACACACACACACACACACACACACACACACACACACACACACACACACACACACACATCACATGGTAGATAGTGACTGAGAATTGTAACTCTGGTACGATAATTAAGTACAATTTTGAGGTTATGTTACTTGACTTGAATATTTCCATGTCCTGCTACCTTGTGCTTTTACACAAAAGATTCAGAGGAAGTTATTGTATGTTTTGCTACAGTATATTTATTTGATAACTTGAGTTAGTTTGAAGATTCAGCTTTAGATTATTAAAGCTAAATGTAATCAACAAACTATGTACTGTATATTATTACAGGTTAAGAAAAATGTTGTATACATGAACAAGCCACCCAGCAGTATGTAGCAAAACAAATACTCTCCTACTTTACCAGTTGCAACAAAGAGTGATGAACACATTGATGCATTCATGATTATAATCCAATGATATAAATAAGGCCTTTATGATACTAAAATCAACCGTTATGCTAAATTAGTACTTTTGAGATTCCTCCATACAATTGAGATAAATAAATGCTAGTAAGTAGTACTCACATCATCACACAATTGAAATAGTTGTTATCCTAGTTTGACTCTGTAATCCACAAACTTCTCTGTTGGCAGATATCTTCAATAGAAATTACCTCCAATCAAAAGTGTTTACAACAATCCACCACAATTGTATTCGGTGGGCCTTTAAATACCCTGGACACACATACCCTAAACGGTTTTGGAGGGCTCAGTACCACCAGGCCTAAATGAAAAAAATAGGGTTGCTCAAAACATGCTTTATTTGGAAACGTTATTTGCGGCACCTCATTAAAAAGCTCAAACCATAAGAGTGTGCTCCAGAGTTCATCACTCCACATGCAAAGTGTTTGTTTTTAAAGTTTGGGAAACTGAGCTTTTCATACAAAGGATTCTTTTTTTTTTTCTCGTATATTTGTATTGAACTTTTCTATTATGCATTCACTTGTCACAACCCGTCCCCAATCTACAACATTTAAAAGCACTATACCAATGCAAACATGTATATAAAGAAAGCAACAACAACCAAACAAAATACCACAAAAACCCTCTTAGCCTCATAGGGGTCAGGGAACCTATACTTAAGGTTTGGATACATCGCTTTATTCAAAGTAGAAGCTTCAAGATGTTCAAAATGTCTTCACTGAGCCCAATAAGGAGAGTTTAAGGTATTACAGCTTGGGATGTGCTATTTAGGTTTCCATCTAATTACAGTTCAATGGCAGATTTCCAGGGACAAGCCGTCGTTCATACATGGGTGCTGAGTGGCTCACTTTTCAGGACATTTTGCTCATCATTAATGCCATGTCATGCACATGACATATTTTCTTATTATATCAGGGAATTTAAAATATACAAAACATATATTTTAAATTACACTTATCAGTTGCCACTTTATAGGTACCTATGCTGAAATGAATGCAGTCCTACGGCACTGAAATCAATTCTACCATTATGAAGATGCAAATGTTGAGCTTTTTAAGAAATGTTTATAGAGGTGTTGATTTAACTTGAAGGCTGCAGTTTGTGGTGCAGTTGAATTGTTTTGCGCCACACTTAGGTGTGTTTCCGATATTTAGTCTACCCTGACTGATATAAATGGCTCAGAGAAGACATAAACCAATCATCTTTATCTGTGCTACTATTATTAGAATTAAATTCTTGAACATCCTTAAGTTGTACACATTCAGAACATACTACAAATTCAGACAAAGCAACAGTCAGCGCAGTGAGTGCTGCTTTGAAAGTCATATTTCCCATATTGACATATTTTCTGTAACTGCTTGGCTCTGCTGCGGTTTTTCTTCACTGCGAAGGCCAGAGTCCTTGCGACTATTTTAACAAAGATCTTTTCTTTTGAGGATCAGAAAATGTCAAACAAAGGTTGGACAAAAATGTGTGTAGTAAAAAGGTTATTACACACATGGAGTGGAATGGTAACATTTTGCAAAACATATGCATGCACATGCCTGTCTAAAAGCAGAACACAGAAACATACAAGCACGGACGTGCAGGCTGCAGAAGTGAACATACACAGATGTTCAGTGACTTTAATCATGCTCATGGGCAAGTAATCAGTGGAAAACACACGGCGTTCACACATGCTTAAGCACCATTGAAAGCTGCAATTGACCTTGAAGAATGAAGGAGTAAATATAGGACGGATGGTCCTTCCACAGATGCAGCGTTTGAGTCATTCCACTATAAGTTGCCTCTTTAACCACTCAAATTGAAAGACCAAAATCACCAGTATGAAAGCCAGATGTAGAAAAAGATCAGGAAGAAGGAAAAATACAGTTTATAAAGTTGAAAAAAGATGGATGGAAACAGAGCAAAAGAGAGGGAGTGGAAGCATTTCAAACATCTGGCAGCCCATGTGTAAGAAGTGAGCAGAGTCCTATTAATTAGAGCCATACTGGAATCTGGATTAATAAGAGAAAAAGCGCGCTGTGGTAAAGAGGACGAAGACAAAAAAAGCTTTTCTGGTTTCATAAAACATACATACAAATAAAGCAGTGGTTTTACTTCTACTAATAAACTATGAAATAATGTGTGCCCAAGCCAAGGAATGGTTTCTTTCTCTCTAATGAGTAACACCCCCGCCCTCTCACTCTCCCTCAGGGGGAATACACCTTGGGTAGGGCAACAAAAGCAGGGCTGTGTCTCCGGGCCTCCAGGCCTCCAGGCCTCAATGCTGCTTTTATGAGACCTGGCTGGGTCAGGTCAGACTGGGTCACCTGGTCCTGGTGCTGCTGGCACACAAACACACCAACACAGGCACTCCCACACACAACCGACGCTCCCCTCTCACAGACTATGGGGATTAAAAACAGCTTTAGTGCAAAAACGTTGGGGATTTCCACATCGCTGTTTTCTTCCAACAAGCCACTTTATTCTTTGATCAAACTATGGAGCCTCCTCATTGTGGCCGGCGTATTGTGCAGCAGAAGTAAATATCTTTCAATTGTGAACTGTTGAAATTACAAAAACTTTTTTTTTTAAATAACATTTTTAAAGTTCTTATTAGTAGCATCATCTGGACTTAGTTACCCTGGGTGTAAATGTGACTCAACTTTATAGTTTTTCTAACCCAGATCCGCTTGAGTTTATAGTTATGAAACTACACACACACACACATATACACACACACAAACACACCACACACACACACACACACACCACACACACACACAACACACACACACACACACACCACACACACACCACACACACACACACACACACACACGCGCTAAGCTGGTTGTCATTACATGTGAATACGACCAGACTAGTTTTTTATGCAACTTCTTTTCTTCTTTTCGCACACTTTGACTTTGTATGTAACAGCACTTGAAAAATAATAAAATTGGCGGTAGTAAAAATCTAGCTTAAAGAAATCTTATCATTATAGAGGTTAACAGCTTTGTTTAAATCATATATTCAACAATCTTTGGTGTATTGAGAATTTGGATTACATTTTTCGGTTGCTTCTTTTTTCCGCACATTACAGAAAGATGTCCTGTTGGAGATAATGTGGTGCAGCATTTTTCTTAGAAATAAATGAGTGTTGATTGTAAATGTCTACTGAAATTAAACGTCATTTTCAGTTGTATGGTGTAATGAGTCCACTTTTAGGGCTAAGAAATGTGTGGTAACGTCTATCTGTCTTTCAGCATCAGTTAGTGAATGAACAGAAAACGGATCAGGGTGTGTACAAGTACAACACAACATGTGTTATACTTTACAACTGGCACTCTTAACTTTTTTCTGTAAAAAATATACTTGGGAGAATCTTATAATATTAGTTATTAGGCTTTTTAGTTGAAATATAAAAGCAGTCAATCTGAGAAGTGCAGAGTAAAGTTCTAAAACCAACAATTTAGCTTAGTCCATTTCACTGGATATTAACCTATTATTTTAAAGACCAAGTAACAGTATCCATATAAAAGTACTAATAGCTCCTAGTTTCCTGCTTTCG